TACTGCATCGAATACAAACTCCTGCTTCCCAGCTTTCATGACCCTAACACTACCTTCTTCAGTGGCAGTCTCCCTCATCCACTTCCACCTCGTACATCACACACAGGAGCAGGGTCATAGCTAACCACGTCACCTACTATTCCCTGCTCTCCAATTCAGACAGGTTCTGCCCTGAGCTGCCTATTAGCCAGTTCATTTTCTTGCTAAATCTGTGCTGTTTTCCCACTGAAATGACCTTTCCACTTTGCTCAGCTTATCCAAATCCTATTAATTTTCAAGTCTAGTGCAAGTTTGTCTTCCTCTCTAAAGTGTTCCCCCAGGGGCCAGCCTCATGGCCTAGTGGTTAAGTTCAGTGCACTCTGCTTCAGCAGCCTGGGTTTGTGGGTTTGGATCCCAGGCACAGACCTACACCACTCATCAGCAGCCATGCTGAGGTAGCAACTCACATACGAAATAGAGGAAGATTGGCACAGATGCTAGCTCAGGGCAATTCTTCCTCAGGCAAAAAGAGGTAGATTGGCAACAGATGTTAGATCAAGGTGAATCTTCCTCAGCAAAAAAATAAAAAATGAAAAAAATAAATAAAACCTTCCCTAATATTTCCAGCTAACCCTAAGGCCTCTACCTTTGTTCTGGACTCTATCATTTCCACTTCTTAATAATCCTGTTACAAAATATATCTTTTCTCTCAGATATTATTAATCTTTCCTTCCCTATTAGTGTTTTTCTATTAAGATATATCCTTATTCATTTTTTTCCATTTAAAAAGTAAAAATGATTTTTTTTCTGATCTTGCCACAGCTTCTAGGTGTACCCATGCTTTCTCCCTCCCAACCAACTCCTTGAACAAGCAGTTTATACAAGAAAGAAGGAAGGAAGGAAGGAAGGAAAGAAAAGAAATTATAGTAGCTAAGGGGAGAATGCTTTTGCCAGGGGACCCAATAATGGCTTCCTTAATTGGGAGGTAATGCTGTCTGGGGCTCCTCATGTAGCCAGGCAATAGACAAAAGGGAAGTTACAAGGAGCATTGGTGGGAATTGGGGGAATCCTGAGATACCTCTTTGTACTAACACTAGCTGTGAAGTTACCAAATAGACTACTGCCACCTTACACAAGATCAGCAAGATTGGCAGGGGTTCAGACCATCTGGAATAAAAGTTTGCAAACCACATGTGTCTGACTCCAAAGTCCATGCTCTTTAACATACTACTTTCTACTGATATCAATCTACTTGCAGTTCCTTAATCAAGAAACGCCCTTTCTCATTTCCATGCTCTGTACCAGTTACTTTGTCTGGAATGCTAATACCAACTTCCCAACTGGGAACTCCTAATTACCCCCTTTGAAACTTTCTCTGATCCCTAGAGGTTAGTGTCCACAACCCTGACATGACACTCCACAATATCCTTACATAAAATACATTCTACATGCTTACTGGTTTTTCCCACCTAGACTGCAAGCTTCTAAATGGCAGACACCACATCTTTCATATTTGTATCCCCAACAATTAGTATTCAGTAAGAGAGTAATAAATGTCCATTGAAAGAATATCTGGTCCTTTCAAATTTTCCTTGGTATGAACAACTGCATCACAGATTTTGAATACTTATTTCTTTAAATTAGCATCTAATGAATACTGTATTCAGCCCCTTAATTAATTGACCTGGTGTTTCCCAATCTCTCTAATAAGTCTACAAACTTCTTAAGAGCTGAGTCCACATCAGTTATTACTTCTGTATTCTCTCTAGCACCTAAGAGTGTTGGGCACGTGGTAAGTACTCAATAAATACTTGATGAACTGAATTAAAAACACAGTATTAGCACATTAATAGGAGCAACTTATCATGCCCTACTGATCTAATTAAAAGATCTGGCCTTCTGAAGTAGTGCAATTGTACCCATATGGAAAATTTAATGAGAAAAAGAAAAATTATCCAATTGGACAGTTAACAGCTTTTCTCTTACTGAGAGTTCCACAAATATTTTATGGATAACAAGAGTCAACCTCTAGAGCTCAGAGTAAAAGACTCAAGGTAATATCCCTGTGCATATTGGAAGGAAGATTACGGGTTTAAGGGGCCTGTCACAACCATCATTACTTAAATTCTACTAAGCCTTAACAAACGCATAATAGGAGTACAAGACATAAGAATATTTAATAGCAAAATCAATTAACGCCAAGTCAGCCTATGCTACAGATGTATACGGTTATCTTTGCATAATATATAACACAACAGTCATTTACTTGTTCAACAAACATTTATTAAGTGCCTACTAATGACAAGTGCTATGTTAGGTCCCAGTAATAAAAAGATGAAGAGAACACAGTTCCTATGTTGCTGGGGCTCTAGCTCTGCCATGTGGCAATGGTACTCAAGAATACAACATGAGCCGTACTTCCTGGAGTTGCTCAACATGGACGCTTTGCAGGGAGGAGTCTGGTGGAGAAGGCAGACAAACACATAGTGCAATATGATTAACGTTAACACATAACTAAGTACAAGCTGTTATGGGGCCACAGAGGAGAACATAATCAACCTACTGAAGAAATCAGGAAAAGATACGGAAGGAACTGACATCCGTACATGAATTCAATGAGAGTTAAGGTATGAGGAAGCTACCAAGACAGAAACATCTGGGATGGAATCAAACCTGAAACTATGGTGCAAGAAGAGTCGAGAGGGCTTCAAAGCAAACGAGTACAACTCAAAGCAAACCACTGTAGAAGAGCCAAACAATAAGATACTCCTTGCCATTAAGTTTGAGAATAATGAAATACATATACAAGAGAAGTTAAACCACCACATGGTATAAGCATAAAGGGAGTCTTTCAAACAATATGTGGTGTAGAAGTTCAAAGGGAGCCAATCACTAAGAGAGCTGTCAGGAAAACCTCCATAAAAGCAGAGTTAGAACTATTGTTGGGGGGTGGGGGGGGGGGGGTGAGGGGGCGTCCATCTGGTGAGAAAGATCAACATCATTCACAAAAGCAAGGATCTGAACTGCTTATCTGCGGCACCATGACGAGGTCCAGAGGTTCATGGTGGGAAGCAGTGGGGAAAAAGCTGGACATGTGAGTGAAGGCCTAATTTAGAAGAGCCTGGAACACAAGCCTAGCAGACTGGACATTGTTCTTGACTCTTAGTAGTTCTCAGTCCTGACTGCTGAATGGAAACATCTGGGGAGCTTTAAAAACTATACCTATGCCTGAGGCTCACCCCATAGCAAAAGTAAGAGAATCTCTGTGGGGAGTGGCCTGGGATTAAAATATCAAAGCACACACGGTGATTCCACTGAGCAGTCCGGACTGAGGACCACTGGGCTAGATGACAGGAAGGTGAGACATGACAGACATAGTTAAGACCCAGGCTTGATTTCCGTCCCTGTTTATAAGCAACAATTTTGAGCTGATTATCTGTGGAAGCTTATCTTCTAACCTGAGTTAAACATTCTCAGTTTTCTTAGAGTTTCTTTTCCCTTGTTGACAATGCTAAGCTCTGAAAATAACCCACCAATTTCTCCTACATGACTGGTTCACTGCACAGTCTGCAACTGTAGAATTTTATTTCCATGACATCCCACAGACAACTTAGAAAATAATTATTGCAACTTTATGCTGCCCTTAGATCTCTGCAACGAAATGCTTTATATTAAAGAATGTTCTAGGCTGCATGCATGTCTGGATTTTACAGAACTTCTCTTTTAAATACAGAGAGAATGTAATACCTATGCACACAAAAGTCATATCACTTAGACTAGAGCAAAATGTGAGATTAAGTACTCATTCTTGCAGTACCTGGAGACATTAGTCTGTTCCTGGTTTCAGAAGTGCAATGATTACAAAGTAATTTGCTTATTTTGTAACAAATACTTTCAAAGTACTTCATAAATAAAGGGAAACAACAAATGTATCCCATACAGCAACTCTGTACTACATTAAACAAGCGTCCAGTGTGGGAGGAAAATGTGATCAAGGTGATTATGTATTATGACAGCATGTCGACCCTTCCAAAAAGCAGGTTGGTTTGCTTGCTTGCTTGTTTTTTAAGTAAAAGCAAAGGTACAAATATGCTTCAGCATCCATGTTACTCACAGAAGGGATTATTCAAGAAATCTGTACTTTGTTTATAGGTAAGGAAGGGTCTTCTTTCTGTAAACTTAAGTTAACCACAACTGTCTTGTTTTGTGTGGTGTTAGGTCACTATATCTACTTAATGGTAAAAATGGTATGAGAACGTGAGTTGGATGCCTACAGCTGAGACTCCACGCACATGTTCATGCAGTCTTATTTCCAGATAAAGTTAATAAACTCGAAGGACCATATCCCACTGTAACCGTAGGGGGGAGGGAGTGAGGAAGCGGGGACGGGGGCAGTGAGTATGGGAGAATCCAACAATCAAAATGCTAAACATGAACAAGAGTCCAGAGAGCTTTCCTCAGAAATCTGGAACTAGATTTCAAGAGTTGGCCGTTCGCTTGTACCGCTCCTATTCAGAAAAGAAAAGAAAGGCTTCTAAAAAGAAAACGCAAGGGTAACTCTCCGACACAGAGGTGAGAGTTAAAAAGCAAGTCACAGGATCCGAAGGAAATCCAGAGGGCAAGGAACGAAGAGGGGACGAAGGAGACAGGAAAAGGTGTCGACGGCGGGCAGAGGCCATCCGCTGGGACCCTGGCCGCCCAGCTCTTTATGCACCCAGGGCAGCGTGGACAGCCTCTCTGGCCCCGCGCGCATCTGGGGCCGGGCGCAGCGCGAGCCCCCACGGGCCTGGCACCAGGGGGCGCGGGGCGCCCGGGGTCGGAGAGAAAGGGCTGCACGCCCCGCCCGCGCCCCGCCGGGCTCCGCACGCAGGGGACCCCAGGAAGGAGGCACACTTTGCTGCCCTCGCCTCCCGGGGCAGGGAGGGGGTGGGTGGAGCGCAGCCCGGAGCCGCCCCCGGAGCCGCCCCCGCAGCCCCGGCCCCCCGCCCCGCTGTCAGCGGCCCCCTCCCGCAGTCACTCACCCGGGGGCTGCGCGGTCTCGGCCGCGGCGGCGGCGGCGGCGGCGACCCCCGCCTGGGTCATGATCCCAGGCGGGTACAGCAGGGGTGTCCGACCGCCCGGGCGAATCTCTCCGTCCGCGGCCGCCGCCTGCTCCTCTGGGGCTGGGGGAGTGCGGGCCCAGGCCCTCCTCTCCCCCCGCCCCCGCCGCCTCTTCTCGCGGCCACCGCCGCCGCTGCGAGCCCGAGCCCTCAAGGCCGGAGACCCGGCGGCAGCGCGGCCTCAACTTTCCCAGCCCCCCTCCCCCCGCCCCTCCCCGCCCCTCCCGCGGCCGCCGCTCGGCATGCGAACAGCCTACCCTGGGTGCGCCGCGCTCCCGCCCCTGCCACTCAGCCCACCAACCCGGCCCCGGGGAGGCTGCCGCGGTAGCCAATCAGAACCCGGGACGCTGTTACACTAGGCTGGAGGGCGGGAGGAGGTGGAGGGAAAACCGGAGAGTCAACGAGCCTCGGGCTGCCCAATGAGGAGGGCCGGGGGGCGGAGGTGTGCAAGTTGGGTTGAAGGAACAGGAAATATTCTTAAAGGTAGAGTGATGGGCAGGAAGGAAAGCCAGTAGGTGAATGGGAAAGAGGTGGGCCTGGTTCCTTAAAGGGGACGCCTTGAGAACCTAGAAAAGCAGGTTTTTAAGAAACTTCTTTGTATTCCGTTGTCTGTTCTGCTTTCCACGTCTTTCAGGTGGAGTTTGGAAGTGGGAAAACTAGAAAGGATGAGGGAACGGAAGGCTTTCAAGTATAATTAAAAAGCTCCTCTTAGCCTAGAAGGCAGGAAGGCGGGATGATGCCTCTGTAATAAGAGGTGGGGAAGAAGAGAATCCAGACGTCTCTCACTGCCCTTTCACTGGAAGATCGTTGCCGACCTGACGCTGCTCGAATTTGTAGACTGTGGTCATCTGTCATCCTTCATTTGCAACAAAGCACGGATTCCTTCGAACTGGCGATGACTGTGTTCCGAAATGTCCTGGGGTCCTCCCAGGTCGGGGAAAGAATATGTGGCATTGGGAGATGGGGTTTGGAATCTCAAGCCTGGGTGCCTAGAGAGCTGGGACATGTAGAGCCGCCGGTGATGGAATGGAGACCTGAGGGTTCCCTAACTCCGAAATGAGTGTGGAGTCCTGGAACCGTGGTCACGACTCCCTTTTCCTGGTTTCGCTTCATATTTCATAACCCTTCCCCTCCTGAAATAGGTGTCCTCCACCTACTGGTGGTGAAAGATTCCCAAACCCTTCCCCAACCGGGTTTGTAAATGTCCCAGATCTTAGATGTCCAAGGACTAGACCAGGTAACTTCCAGAAGGTGAACACAGGGCATGGCATAATGAGAATTACTTGAGCCCGTGTGCAGAGGAAGCTGACCTAGTATTGAGAAAAAGTGTCAAGTTAAACAGTAACTGCGTCTTGTGTTTGTACGGCAGTTTAAAAGCTATGATGAAACAAGGCCTTTAGTGTTGCTTATAAACTATGGTACCATAAACAGTCTGGAAATTTTCTTTAACTCTTGCATCTCAGCATATGAAGGTCTAATTAGCCTCTGAATGGACTTAGTGCACCCAAATCCAAGCTGCAGATGAGAAAGGATTCAGAGCCTAATAGGGATGCTACGTCCAGCTATAGGAAATAATTTCCATTGTGATCAGAATATAAGGTATTCTGGTTACAAAACTATTCTAGCTAATAAATATGTATAGGGTATTATGATTTTCTAAACAACTACAATGCAGAGTCTAAAGTAAAATCAGAAAAGTTTTGATGGTTCAGAAAACAGAATATAGACCACCGTTAAAAATACCTTTCTGGCACAATTTAGAAGTGTAAATAAGAGAAATTTCTGTTTGATAAAAGATCTCAATGTTAGCTTTATAATTTAATCATCATTCCTGAAGAAGCCCAAATTGTAATCATGGATCTTTTTACTTGCTTTGCCCATTCAACATTGGTTTACTGCACTAAATATGAGAGGATGGCATCAAATAATCGAACCAGTCCAATTTCCGGGCTAGGTGGCCTGTGTTTACAGTGCCTGTACCGGTGATGAAATGTGGTGGCCAGGTGAAACTGGTCTCACGCGGCTCGAGTGAATCTTTCACCCACATCCTTAAGACTTCTCAATGGCTCTAAAAGACTTTTTGCGCGACTCCAGTTGCTTATCTCCAGTTCCGTTTCGTGACATCTGTTTTCCTACTCCTGGGGATGAATGACTAGGGGAGCCGGCCGCCTACAGCCTAAGCGAGGGGCGGCTCAGGGGGCGGCTCGAGACTCTGCCCCATCCGCTCTCTCCCAGCTCCTGGAGGCGAGGGCAGCGCAAAGTGTTCCTCCTTTCTGGGGTCCCCTGCGTGCGGAGCCTGGTAGGGTGCGGGCGCGGCACGCAGCCCTTTCTCCCTAACTCCGGCGCCCCGCCCCCTGGTGCCAGGCCGGTGGGGGCTCGCCCTGCGCCCGGCCCCAGATGCGCGCGCGGCCGGAGAGGCTGTCCACGCTTGCGGTTTCTTTTTAGAAACTTTCAGAAACGAGCGGCAGCGCTACAAGCGAATGGTCAACTTTTAAAATCTGCTTCTGTGTTTCCCAAAGACACTGCCCGATTGCTTTCCAAAGTGGTTATAATATTTCGCGTTTTCAACAGCGAAATATGCAGCGTCCAGATACTCCGCTTCATCTCCAACCGTTGATATTGTCAGTCTTTTAAATTCTAGCCCTTATAATGGGTGTGGTCTCTCGTGATTTGAATTTGCATTTCTCTAATTATTAGTGGTGTTGAGCGTATTTTCGTATGTTTATTGGCTGGTTACATATCTTCTTGGGTAAAGTGTTTGTTCGAATCTTTAGCCCATTTTAAAATCAGAATGCTTATCTTTGTGTGTTTTGGATAGAAGTTCTTTCTCAGATATACATTGTGCAAATATTTTCACCCAATCTATATCTTGAAAAAAAAAAACCAAAATAGCTTTATTGAGGTATGATTGACCTACAATAAGCTGAACATATTTAAATATACAACGTGATATTTTGACATATATATACATCTGTGAAACTGTCTCCACAATTAAAAATAAGCATATCCATCTTGCTCTCCAATTTCCTCATCCTCCTTATTAATTCCTTACTTTTGTCTCATCCTGTTCTCCAGACAACCACTAATCTGCTTTCTGTCACTACACATTCGTTTTCATTTTCTATAATTTTATATAAATGGAATCATTCAGTATATCCTCTTTTTTGTCTATCTTCTTTCATTCAGCATACTTTTTTTTGGAGATTCGTTCACGTTGTTGTGCATATCAATAATTCATTAGCTTTTGTTGCTAAGTAGTATTCCATTGTATGGATATATCATATATGTTCACTTTGGTGGACGGTTGGATTGTTTGCGGTTTTTGACTATTATAAATAAAGATGCTAGAATATTTGCATACAAATCTTTGTATGGACATTTGCTTTCATCTTCCTTGGTAATACTTGAGTAAATATCTAGTGAAATGACTCAGTCATGTGGTAAGTGCACTTTTTAAAAAACTGCCAAACTGTTTTCCAAAGTTGTTGTACCATTTTATATTCTCACCAGTAGAGTATGAGAATTTAAATTGTACCATATCCTTGTCAACACTTAATATGGTCAGTCTTTTAAAATTTTAGTCATTCCAATAGGAGTACAGTGGTATTTCATTGTGACTTTAATTTGTATTTCCCTAGTGACTAATGATACTGAGCATCTTTTCATGCTTATTAGCCATTTGTTATCTTTTGTGAAGTGCTGTTGCAATTTTTTGCCCATTTTTATTGGGTTGCTTTTATTGAGTTTCAAGAGTTCTTAAATATTCTGGATACATATTCTTTATCAGATATGTGATATGCAATGTATTCTCCCAGTTCCTGGGTTATCTTTTCATTCTCTTAACTATGCTTTCCAAATAGTAGTTCTTAATTTTAAGTCCAATTTATCAATTATTTCTTTAATGGATTGTGCTTATGATGTCACAGCTAAGAAATCTTTCACTAACACAAAGTCATACAGACTTTTCTCTTGTCTTTTCTTCTAGAAGTTTTATGTTTCATATTTAGATCCATGATGCATTTTAAATTAGTTGTTGTATATTGTGGAAGTATGGATCAAAGTTTATATCTTTGCATTGGGAAATCAATTTTTCCAGCACCAATTGTAAAGACCATCCTTCCTCCACTGGGTTGCCTTTGTACCTTGGACAAAACTCTATTGACCAGATACGTGTGGTGCATTGCTGGACTCTATGCTGTTCCATTGATCTGTTTGTCCATCCTGACACCAATACCACACTGTTTTGATCACTGCAGCTTTATAAGTCTTGAAGTCAAGTTGTGTAAGTCCTCCAATTTTCTTGTTCCTTTAAAAAATCTTTTAACTATTCTAGGTCCTTTGCATTTCCATATAGACTTAAGCTTGTCAAGTTAAAAAAAAATGCCTGCTAAAATTTTGACTGGGATCTATAATTCAATTTAGGGAGAAGTTACAACTTTTTTTTTTTTGAGGAAGATTAGCCCTGAGCTAACTGCTGCCAATCCTCCTGTTTTTGCTGAGGATGGCTGGCCCTGAGCTAACATCCATGCCCATCTTCCTCTACTGTAAATGTGGGACGCCTACCGCAGCATGGCTTGATAAGCAGTGCCATGTCCACATCCAGGATTTGAACTGGCAAAGTTACAACTTAATATTGAGTCTTTAGATTCATGAGTATGTTCTCTCTCTCCATTTATTTGGATCTTTAAAAGTTTTTCTCAGGAGTGTTTTAGAGCATTCTGTATATAGATCTTGCATATATTTTATTAAATTTATCCCTAAACATCTCATATTTTTATGCTATTGTAAATGTTATCTTTTAAATTTTAATTTGTAATTTTTGTAGCTGGAAATACAATTGACATTTGTATCCTGTGACCATGTTACACTCACTTATTAGTTCTAATAGCTTTTTTTAAGTTATCTTAGTGTCTTCTACTTCATATCATCTGCAAATAACGACCATTTTCTTTCTTTCTGTTCAAGCTTCATGATTGTTATTTATTTATTTATTTATTTTACTGGACAGGCTAGGGCTTCCACTGCGATACTATATAGAAGTGAGAAGAGTATATAGTGTACCTAGCGAGAGCAGTCACCTGTATATAGTGAGAGCAGTATATATATGTATATATCTCACCTGAATATAGTGAGAGCAGTCATCCTTGCCTTCTTCCCAATCTTAGACATAAAGCTTCCCGTTTTTCACTATTAAGCGTGATGGTAGCTGTAG